AATCGAAAAGGCGCCTGCTCAGAAATCGAAGAGGCGTTTGCTTTCTCAAAAGCTGGGCTGCTCAGAGACCACGAGGGTCGATCTCAGAAATCGAAGAGGCGTTTGCTTTCTCAAAAGCTGGGCTGCTCAAAGACCACGAAGGCCGATCTCAGAAATCGAAGAGGCTTGCTTTCTCAAAAGCTGGGCTGCTCAGAGACCACGAGGGCCGATCTCAGAAATCGAAGAGGCACCTACTTTTTCCAGCCTTGTCAGCACCTGTCACACGCACACTCAGCTTTGCGGAAATTATGGGCATTCTGTCGAAGATTTCTGGCGAAGTAGAAAGCACATGAATCGTACTGTTCAATCACCCACTTCCCACACGCAACAGTAGCTCATGGGTACCACAGATAACTTTGCCAAAGTTCTCTGACAAAGTTGAGACACGTGAAGCTTGCAGCTCCCACTACATCGCTCTGACCAAGAAGGGTAAAAGAATTGCAAAGAAACAACACTAACAAAGTTTAGACACATAAATTTTGAAGGTCTAGCTACCATATTATTACCCACAAGGGTAAAGGAACAGTACCACTGCTGGATAATTGGAAAGTCCCAGGTGTGCCCAACCTTTACTCACATTCGAGAAAAACACTCCCAACAAGATTGCTTGCTCCAAAATCGAAGAGGCACCGCCCTCCGAATCTCGAGAGCCAGACTCCCAACATGATTACTTTCTCAAAAATCGAAGAGAGGGTAAAGGAACAGTACCACTGCTGGATAATTGGAAAGTCCCTGTGTGTCAACCTTTGTGCTTCGTGGCAAGGTAGACTAGCAAACATGCCCAACCTTTACTCACATTCGAGAAAAAACACTCCCAACAAGATTGCTTGCTCCAAAATCGAAGAGGCACCGCCCTCCGAATCTCGAGAGCCAGACTCCCAACATGATTACTTTCTCAAAAATCGAAGAGAGGGTAAAGGAACAGTACCACTGCTGGATAATTGGAAAGTCCCTGTGTGTCAACCTCTGTGCTTCGTGGCAAGGTAGACTAGCAAACATGCCCAACCTTTACTCACATTCGAGAAAACACTCCCAACAAGATTGCTTGCTCCAAAATCGAAGAGGCACCGCCCTCCGAATCTCGAGAGCCAGACTCCCAACATGATTACTTTCTCAAAAATCGAAGAGACACCGCTCTCCGAATCTCGAGAGCCAGACCCCCAGCAGGATTGCTTTCTCAAAAATCGAAGAGGCATCGTTCTCCGAATCTCGAGAGCCAGATCCCCGACAGGATTGCTTGTTCGAAAAACCGAAGAGGCACCACTTTCCCAACTTCAAGAGCTGGATCTCCTTGGATAAAGCTTGTCTGTAATCTTCACACGCAACATCAGCTTTCCAGATACCACAGACCACTTTTTCAAAGTGCTCTGACAGAGTTAAAACATGTGAAGCTGGCAGCTCCCACTACCGTGCTATGACCAAGCAGGGTAAAGGAATAGCATTATTACTTGATGTTAGGGAGACTCCTATATATGTCGACCTCCATCCCTAACGGACAGGCAGACCTGCAAAAATGCTCAACCCTTTCCTCTTATCTGAGAGGGCACTCCCAACGAAGCCTTTCGAAATATTCAGCTTTCTTTCCCCCCGATAATACCTCTGTAAACAAGCTATACTAGAGCAAGAATATCTCATATCATCAGGGTTAAAAGCAAGAGTATCCCATATCATGCTTTTTCCCTGTCTTTTCCTTTGGCCTTGTTCTTACCTGCAAGACAAGGAGAAAGAGAGCAATCAGTCAGCACTTGGAATCAAGCTTCCAGCCAGGAACTGACTGCCTGGAACCCCTTACCTGATTACTTACCTGGCATTGCTCTCGAGTACTCATCTTCAACATCTTATGCTTCCAGGGAAGATACCGCATCTGCCTGAGGAACAGATAGGGCAAGTGAGAAGGATACAAGGAAGCATGTGGAGACAAGCGTAACAGCACACGTGCCGATACATCCACTACTCTGTCAAAAGCAAAAAGTATCCCATATCAGCAGGGTCGAACGTACTCTAGATTTGATGGACTTGTTTTGACCCTCAAATTCTTCAGTCGGCCTTATACTCTGGAGGAAACCAGAAAACCCTCCAGCCCAGTTCAAGAATAAGCCTGTGGAAAGTTACTTCTTCAAAAGCAAAAGTATCCCATATCATCTCTTCTCATTTTTCTTCTCTTTATCCTTCATGCTGCCTGCAAGATAGGGAGAATGTGAACAATCAGCCTGGAGCTCTGATTGCTTACCTTGTCTGTCACCTCTTTCAGCAGATCCCCTAGCTCGGCGACTTGGGGGACTCCTACTACATGGTTTGTATCGCGCTTGACCAAGCCTGAAACTACAAGTAAGCTTCAAGTGAAATTGATACATTACCTTGTGCATCTCCACCAGTTAACAGATACCACCCCTGGATGGAGGAAGAGTACTTCCAGAGAAGATGCCACATCTACCTATGAGACAGATAAGGCAAGTCAAGACGATACCACACTCCGGTACTTAGAAGTTTCGTGGCTACGAGATCATTCTCCCACAATATTTCCTAATGTCATTTGTACTAAATCATTCACTTGTACTCACTAAAGGAGAGCTTGAACCTATGTACTTGTGTAAACCCTTCACAATTAATGAGAACTCCTCTATTCCGTGGACGTAGCCAATCTGGGTGAACCACGTACATCTTGTGTTTGCTTTCCTATCTCTATCCATTTATATACTTATCCACACTAATGACCGGAGCAATCTAGCGAAGATCACAAAAAGTGACCGTTTTCGCTACCTAGGATCTATCTTGCAAGAGAACGGAGAATTAGATGGAGATCTCAACCATAGAATACAAGCTGGATGGATGAAGTGTAAGAGTGCATCCGGCGTGTTGTGTGTGACCGTCGTAGGCCACTGAAGCTCAAGGAAAATTTTTATAGGACGGCAATAAGGCTATCGATGTTGTATGGCACAGAATGTTGGGCGGTGAAGCATCAACACGTACACAAAATGGGTGTAGCTGAGATGAGGATGCTTCGTGGGATGTATGGGCACACGAGAAAGGATAAGATTGGGAATGAGGATATCCGAGGTAAAGTAGGAGTAGCCAAAATTGAAGGAAATATGAGAGAAAATCGGTTCCGGTGGTTTGGACATGTGCAAAGAAGGCCTACTGACGCTCCGGTTCGAAAATGTGACTACGGGACAGAGGTTCAGGGCCGAAGGGGTAGAGGAAGACCTAGGAAAACTTTGAAAGAGACCCTAAGAAAAGACTTGAGTACTTGGATCTAACGGAGGACATGACACAAAACCGAGCGCAATGGCGTTCTAGGATTCATATAGCCGACCCCACTTAGTGGGAAAAGGCTTTGTTGTTGTTGTTGTTGTATTGAAATTTCATTTTATTTCAGTAAACTATAATGGTCATTGCACTTAGCACATGACTATTAAAATTTTGCAATTTAATGTCTCTTACTTACTTTTTTTATTTATTTATTAAAAGAGGGTTAATTGGTGGCAAGCTACAATTATCTACCTCTTTTGAGCTTGGAAAGACTATGGAGAATTTAATCATGTCCATGACTATAGTCAAGCAGACTCATTACAGCAGAGTATCAAACCTGGAACCTCCCATATTTTTATGTTTATTGGAGAGCCGCAGGCTGCACCTTTACTATTGGGCCACTTACTATGGTTATGTCTCTTACTTACTCCGTTACACCCAAATATAATACAAAAATATAATCACCCTCCATTATTATAATTTTTATGTGAAACTTGTGTTTTTCTTTAAGAATCTAATTATAAATTTAGTTTAGTAGAATATTTTATAACTTCGGTGGGGTTAAATAGAAAAGGCTTTTTAGCCAAAATGGTCCTTGAGATTTGCCTAATTCCTCACTTTGGTCCCTGAGATTTGAAATCAATAGAAGTGGTACTGAGATTGTCCACCATTAATCATTTTGGTCATTCGGTGACAAATTATGTTAAATAAGAATCAAAATGATAAAATTACCCTCAATATAATGAACAATAGCCAAAATGATTTGACAAAAATTGAGGGTATTTTTGTCATTTTATTCTTATTTTATGAAGATTTTTCGTGGAATGACCAAAATGATTGATTGTGGAAAAACTCAGGAACCAATTATATCGATTTCAAATCTCAAGGACCAAAGTGAGGAATTGTGCAAATTTTAGGGACCATTTTGATTAAAAAACCAATAGAACATAAAACAAAATTGACATTGATGTAGCAACCATTTAGTAGAGTAGCCCAATTACCTCCATTCCCACCATTTAGACCATCTCTAATCTTTGGCCTAAAACCTAAAATTTATAGCCCAGAAAATTTAGGTTTTAACCTAGAAATAGTTTTTCTACTCCAACCTTTCTAGCCTGAAATTTTAGCCCCAGATTATTAAAAAATGAATTTAGGCTTTTTTTTTCAAATTAACTTTGAAAAAAAATGTAGACTATCCTAAATTAATTTTATGAATATTTTAACCCAAAAATATTTAAATTCCGATAAACATTGATAAATCACTAAACCGACATATGAAACTTATGAAACACTATAGAAGAATATGAAACAGAAGATAGAGATAATAAACACAAGACACATGAGCAAAACACATGGTTTTGGAAGATGGTAGAAAGAAAAATTGGAAGAATTATAAGAGAAAAGTGAGTTTTGTCCCATAACCATAACCATAGGGCCATGCCTCTCCATAGACCTTAGTACCAATTAGGTAATGGTTCATAAATGTGAGCAAAAGCTCATGTCACAGACTCTATTCTTTCAGTTGTTTGGGGGTTACACTGACCACCTTTGCTTTAATTGGCTTGATTTGGTAGGTGAGTCCCCAACAATCACGAATGAACAATAAATTGACATACCAAGTTTGGGCCAATCAAAGCTTACTGGGTACTTACTTAGGGCTCCTGCTTTCAGAATTCAGATTGTGACAATCAATTTTAGATTTAAAATATGTATAAGGGCACGATCATTGTCACAGTCCGTCCCGAATAACTAATTTTCGATGACGCGAAATGATAATTTTACCTTTGGATGTTAAGTGTATGGTGTGATTTAAGTTGGATTTGGACCCATTTATTATTTTCCCTAAGTTTTTGGACCCAATTGGAAGTAAGGGAATTGTTGGTTTTGATTGGTGGCTTTTGGACCACACACATACCTTATCTTTCTTTCTATCCTGTGGACTTCTCTCTCTCTCCCTCTCGGTTCACACACACTCTCTCTCTTCGAACTCATACGGACACACATAAACAAACCCAAAATCTACACGGATCGAAGGTTTTGAGGTCTCCAGTGTGTTCCTAGGATCCTTACGAGTCAAGTGGTACCCATTTTCAGCAAGGAAACCTTCGAGAAACCTTAGTTTGAAAGAGAGTCGTGGGTGTACAGTACACCAAACCAGTTCGTGGAGGTTTCAAGCCGTTCTAAGGCTCAAAAGGTAATCTCTTAGTCCTCTTGCTTGTTTTGGCATAAATTGGAATGATTTTGGATGTCATAAAACCCCGAAAAGTGGATTTTCGACTTAGGCACTATTCATCAACTTTTAAACCCTTAAGTTTTTGTGAATTTTAGGACCACAGTGAGCTCAAGGAGGTCCTCACAATGCTCGGAGTGCATCGTTGGTAGGATTTGGACCACGTGAAGCTCAAAAACAGAGCTTTGCAAAGGTTACTGGAGTTCGATGACTTCTCCAACGTAATTTCACGTGAATCGAGGCATGAAAGAGGTATAACGCAACTCTTTACCTCCTAAACTTGATTTTGATGGTAATTGCATGAAAAATGGTGCATAAATGAGCTAGATTAAGAAGTTGGAAAATTTGCCCAGTTTCCAGCGCCGGCGACGGTTGCCAGAGCTGGAGGTAGGAGATGGAAGAATATTCCGTTAAGTCTGATGGAATATTCTCACGGCATCAGTTAGTTGGACAATTTCCGTTGGGTTTTAACGGAATATTTCAAGGAATATTCCTAACGGCAGTTAGGGAATCCCTCAGGATTCCCTGCGTGTGGTGGCGCGTTTTGCCGTGCATCTGCCGGCGCATGGCGGCGCGTGGGAGGTCCAAAAATATTTCTAAAAATTTGGGGATGATCGTGAGGTTTTGTAGGTCACGTTGGTATATTCATATACCCATTTTGAGCTTTGTATGAGAAGTTATTAGATAGTTTTGTCTATGTGCTTTAAAAAAATATTTTTATAGTTAATTCGCATATAGATGAGGCTTATCCCGAGGAGGAGCGTATCCACGGGCAACTCGGGGGTTACGACCCGTCGGCATATCAGTGAGTGGGCTTTTGTTTTCAGTATATACTTATATACTTGATATATTTCCCAGAAATGCATTTTTAGGAAAGTATGCTTTGAAATAATATGCCAAATGCTTTTATATTCTGAATATGCATTTCATGGTTGCATATATATATATATATATATATATATATATATATATATATATGTATATATATGGTGCTGTTGAGGCACATGTAAGTTCAGGTAAGTTACGTTTGGTTATGTGAATAATCGATGATTTGATATGTGATTGAATAATGTTGAGCTCATAAAACTACACTTGGGGTGATTGTGATTTAGCCAAAGATATAAAGTACAAGCCTGTTTATTTACAAGCCTGTTTATTTACTTACTCCGTTACACCCAAATATAATACAAATATATAATCACCCTCCATTATTATAATTTTTATGTGAAACTTGTGTTTTTCTTTACGAATCTAATTATAAATTTAGTTTAGTAGAATATTTTATAACTTCGGTGAGGTTAAATAGAAAAGGTTTTTTAGCCAAAATGGTCCTTGAGATTTGCCTAATTCCTCACTTTGGTCCCTAAGATTTGAAATCAATAGAAGTGGTCCTGAGATTGTCCACCATCAATCATTTTGGTCATTCGGTGACAAATTATGTTAAATAAGAATCAAAATGATAAAATTACCCTCAATATAATGAACAATAGCCAAAATGATTTGACAAAAATTGAGGGTATTTTTGTCATTTTATTCTTATTTTATGAAGATTTTTCATGGAATGACCAAAATGATTGATTGTGGAAAAACTCAGGAACCAATTCTATCGATTTTAAATCTCAAGGACCAAAGTGAGGAATTATGCAAATTTTAGGGACCATTTTGATTAAAAAACCAATAGAACATAAAACAAAATTGACATTGATGTAGCAACCATTTAGTAGAGTAGCCCAATTACCTCCATTCCCACCATTTAGACCATCTCTAACCTTTGGTCTAAAACCTAAAATTTATAGCCTAGAAAATTTAGGTTTTAACCTAGAAATAGTTTTTCTACTCCAACCTTTCTAACCTGAAATTATAGCCCCAGATTATTAAAGAATGAATTTAGGCTCTTTTTTTTAAATTAACTTTAAAAAAATGTAGACTATCCTAAATTAATTTTATGAATATTTTAACCCAAAAATATTTAAATTCCGATAAACATTGAAAAATTACTAAACCGACACATGAAACTTATGAAACACTATAGAAGAATATGAAACACAAGATAGAGATATATAAACACAAGACACATGAGCAAAACACGTGGTTTTGGAAGATGGTAGAAAGAAAAATTGGAAGAATTATAAGAGAAAAGTGAGTTTTGTCCCATAACTATAACCATAGGGCCATGCCTCTCCATCGACCTTAGTACCAATTAGGTAATGGTTCATAAATGTGAGCAAAAGCTCATGTCACAGACTCTATTCTTTCAGTTGTTTGGGGGTTACACTTACCACCTCTGCTTTAATTGGTTGATTTGGTAGGTGAGTCCCCAACAATCACGAATGAACAATAAATTGACATGCCAAGTTTGGGCCAATCAAAGCTTATTGGGTACTTACTTAGGGCTCCTGCTTTCAGAATTCAGATTGTGACAATCAATTTTAGATTTAAAATATGTATAAGGGCACGATCATTGTCACAGTCTGTCCCGAATAACTAATTTTTTATGACGCGAAATGACAATTTTACCCTTGGATGTTAAGTGTATGGTGTGATTTAAGTTGGATTTGGACCCATTTATTATTTTCCCTAAGTTTTTGGACCCAATTGGAAGTAAGGGAATTATTGGTTTTGATTGGTGGCTTTTAGACCACACACATACCTTATCTCTCTTTCTATCCTGTGGACTTCTCTTTATCTCCCTCTCGGTTCACACACTCTCTCTCTCTTTGAACTCATACGAACACACACAAACAAACCCAAAATTTGCACGGATCAAAGGTTTTGAGGTCTCCAGTGTGTTCCTAGGATCCTTACGAGTTGAGTGGTACCCATTTTCAGCAAGGAAACCTTCGAGAAACCCTAGTTTGAAAGAGAGCCATAGGTGTACAGTACACCAAACCAGTTCGTGGAGGTTTCAAGCCGTTCTAAGGCTCAAAAGGTAATCTCTTAGTCCTGTTGCTTGTTTTGGCATAAATTGGAATGATTTTGGACATCATAAAACCTCGAAAAGTGGATCTTCGACTTGGTCACTATTCATCAACTTTTAAACCCTTGAGTTTTTGTGAATTTTAGGACCACAGTGAGCTCAAGGAAGTCCTCACAATGCTCGGAGTGCATCTTTGGTAGGATTTGGACCATGGGAAGCTCGAAAACGGAGCTTTGCAAAGGTCGCCGGAGTTCGAGGACTTCTCCAACGTAATTTCACATCGAGGCGTGAAAGAGGTATAACGCAATTCTCTACCTCCTAAACTTCATTTTGATGATAATTGCATGAAAAATGGTGCATAAATGAGCTAGATTAAGAAGTTGGAAAATTTGCCCAGTTTCCGGCGCCGGCGACAGTTGCCAGAGCTAGAGGTAGGAGATGGAAGAATATTCCGTTAAGTCTGATGGAATATTCTCACGGCATCAGTTAGTTGGATAGTTTCCGTTAGGTTTTAACGGAATATTTCGAGGAATATTCCTTACGGCAGTTAGGGAATCCGTCAGGATTCCCTGCGTGTGGTGGCGCGTCTTGCCGTGCACCTGCCGGTGCATGGCGGCACGTGGGTGGTCCAAAAATATTTCTAAAATTTTTGGGGATGATCGTGAGGTTTTGTAGGTCACGTTGGTATATTTATATACCCATTTTGAGCTTTGTATGAGAAGTTATTAGATAGTTTTGTCTATGTGCTTTAAAAAAATATTTTTATAGTTAATTCGCATATAGGTGAGGCTTATCCCGAGGAGGAGCGTATCCACGGGCGACTCGGGGGTTACGACCCGTCGGCATAATAGTGAGTGGGCTTTTGTTTTCAGTATATACTTATATACTTGATATATTTCCCATAAATTCATTTTTAGGAAAGTATGCTTTGAAATAATATGTCAAATGCTTTTATATTCTGAATATGCATTTCATGGTTGCATATATATATATATATATATATATATATATGGTGCTGTGGAGGCACAGGTAAGTTCAGGTAAGTTACGTTTGGTTATGTGAATCATCGATGATGTGATATGTGATTGAATAATGTTGAGCTCATAAAACTGCACCTAGGGTGATTGTGATTTAGCCAGAGATATAAAGTACAAGCTTGTTTATTTACATCACCTCCCGCACTATATGCTCAAATTGGATCCAACTTAAGTGCACAGTCTTGTCGTACATACCTTATTTATGGTTTCGACTCGTAGGTGACTAGCGATTTATCGCCCGACTATTATGAGAGAATAGAATTGAGCATAATTATATTACACCCAATCTTGTCGTACAGACCATTTTTTAGTGGTTCCGACTTATGTGCAGTATGTTGCCGTATAGGTCATTGTAGTGACTCCGGCTAGAGTAACTTTGAGCTATGAATTCAGCCGTACAGACTACCACAGGGGTTCCGGCTAACATATCATATTTCTATGAATTTATTCTTACCTAAATTGCTTACTCTGTTATATATTGGCATGGCATATATTTGAAAATGATTATGTGAAGCATGAATTGAATTGATATGATTTCATATATATATAAATTATGTATATGCTTATATTCTGATTCTAGGAAAAATTATACATGTTTTACAGCGAGGGATTAGATATGTTGATAAAAAAATGATTTTGTAAATTATTTGTTTTTGCTCACTCACGTTTTCCGTTTTGCTCCTCTCCAGGTTTTAAGTAAGCTTGTTGTTGGTGGCTTGAGGACGTCGGCAGTTCTGACCTATCTAAATAATAGTAGGACATTTCTGGTACTGTATAACTAGTACTTGTCTTACTAGACTGCACCTAGACTTACTATGCTCTAATTAGGAGTATTTACGTTTGTAACTAACTCCTATCACTTCCTGTTTAGTAGTGTACTCTAGTAATTTGGTTTTTGATTATTCGTATATTTCTTTTCATTATTGTTTCCGCGTTGTGCATATGGCTACGTCACTCTCACGTGATGGCCAGCACGCCTTAATCTCGGTTAGGGTGTGTCAGTTTGGTATCAGAGCCAATCCCTGGCCGGAAGTGTGCTGACGAGGACGTCGGGCCCCTAAGGGGGGTGGATTGTAACATCCTACATCGCCCAGGGGAGTGATCCTTAAATGTATATTCTCATCCCTACCTAGCACGAGGCATTTTGGGAGCTCACTGACTTCGGATTCCGTAGGAACTCTGAAGTTAAGCGAGAAGGAGGCCAGAGCACTCCCATAATGGGTGACTTACTTGGAAGTTGCTCGTGAGTTCCCAAAAACAAAACCGTGAGGGAATGGTAAGCTCAAAGCGGACAATATAATGCTACGGTGGTAAAGCGGGCCTGAGAAATGGTCCGCCCAGGGCCAGGATATGACAAATAGTATCAGAGCCTAGGTTTAGCAGTCCTGTATAATTCTTGAATATTCTAATCCTTGTGATGTCTTATGTCAGAACTATGCTGCCTCGTAGAGGGCCCCGTCAATCAGCTGAATGTAGTTTCCCTGATATTGCTCAATTAGGGGAAGCTATAGTTTCGCCATTCAGACAGCATTCCGTATTCCCCAGAGGACACCTCTTGAGACAGTTTATAATCTGAAGTTGACTCACTTCATTGGAAATGAAGGTCATGAGGGGGCAGAAAAATGGCTGAATCATGTGGAGAAGACCTTTCAGCTGATGCAGAGTCAGGGGAATCTTTCTTCTGATAGGTGGGTCGAGACGACTACCTAGTTTTTGGGAGAACAACCTGCATCTTGGTGGAGACATGAGTCTTACGAGATGACCCCAGAAGAGATTGTGGACTGGGGAGTGTTTAAGGAGCGGTTTCGGAAAAAGGTTCATTCCTCATACGTATATCGATCTTAAGAAACAGGAGTTTACTCATCTGAGGCAAGGAAAGATGTCTGCTAATGAGTATTACAGGATATTTACTGATCTGTCGAGATATGATCCAGAGGTTGCTGCTAATCTAGTAGAGATGCTTCGCCGTTTCAGTTTGGGTACTAAGAAGAAATGGCATTCTATAGTGACATCGACTCACTATGCCTCTTACCAGGAGTTCTATGAGATTCTACTGAGGATTGAAGCCTTAGAGAACATGCCTAGTGAAAGTGAAGATGAGGAAGGAAAGAATGGAGGCCAGAGACGAATGGCGCATGTGTAATAATCGGCATTTTGGGGAGTGTAGGAGAGGTAGCAATGAATGTTTTACTTATGGACAGATGGGTCATAGGGCTGCTTAATGCCCTTAGAGTCAATAGAGACCCCAACAACCTTCTTTCCCACCACCTGCACCTACCCAGCATGCTTCAGGATCTGGTGGTTATACTCAGACTGGACGATGAGGTACCTACCATTACCAGGGCGACGCCGCTCCCTACACCTCAGGTTAACAGTAGAACTCTTAGGATTCTCAGTATCAGAGTGGGTATCCTCAGTATCAGGGAGGATCTATGCCTTATCAACCATATTCAACCGGTGGATCTCAGTGGTACCAAAGGGGACAGCCCCAGCAGGGAGAAGTTGCTACTAGTAGTTCAGGATCTTCGAAGCAGTCAGTCAGCAGAGACATGGACGTGGTATTCATGCCAACAGAGGTCGCGGTGGACGACAGCAGAATCAGGGGCGTATCCACAACATGTCATTGCAAGATGCCCAGAATAATCCAGATTTAATCATGGGTACGTTAAATATTCCTGGTCATTTTGCTAGAGTATTGACTGATTGTGGTGCTACACATTCTGTTATTTCTCATACATTTGCTCAAGTGACACAACCTCATCCTACACCTATAGGATATAATTTAGAATTTTCTATGCCTAAAGGGGATATATGTTTTGCGGATAGGGTATATCCAGGACGTCCAGTGATAGTAGAGGATATTATTATGCCGGCTAATCTTATGTCGTTGGATATTATGGATTTTGATGTGATTTTGGGCACTGATTGGTTGCACTATAATCGTGCCAAGATAGATTGTTATGGAAATATAGTCACATTTCATTGTCCTGGATTACCTGAAGTTACATTTGTAGGAGAGCTTAGTGGGGTGAGGCATGGTATTATTTCAGCCATGAAAGCAAAGAGACTGTTGTTGAAAGGTTGTCAGGGATATTTGGCTCATGTAGTGTTGAATGATGATGCTTCTAGTAGTGTGGAGGATGTTCGTGTGGTCAGATATTTTCCGGATGTATTCCCTGAGGATTTGCCTGGATTACCGCCATATAGAAAGGTGGAATTTGTTATTGATCTGCTTCCAGGTACGAATCCTATATCCTTAACTCCTTATAGAATGGCTCATGCTGAATTGAGGGAATTGAAAGTTCAGTTACAAAAGTTAGTGGATAAAGGTTTTACTCAGCCGAGTACTTCACCTTGGGGAGCTCCAGTTTTATTTGTGAGAAAAAAAGATGGAGCTTTGAGGTTGTGCACTAAATACAGGTAATTGAATCGGATAACCATTAAGAACCGTTATCCATTGCCTCGTATAGACGATTTATTTGATCAACTCAGAGGTGCCTGCGTATTTTTTAAGATTAACTTGAGGTCGGGATACTATTAGTTGAAGATTAAAAATGAAGATGTCCCTAAAACTGCATTCAGGACTCGATATGGTCATTATGAGTTTCTTGTGATGCCATTCGGGTTAACTAATGCACTAACAGCTTTTATGGATTTGATGAATCGAGTATTCCAGCCATATTTGGACAGGTTTGTTATTGTCTTCATTGACGATATCCTAGTATACTTTAAGTCTAAGGCTGAGCATGCTAAACATCTGAAATTGGTGTTAAGCAGTTTGAGGGAACACCAACTATATGCTAAGTTTAGCAAATGTGAATTTTGGTTGAATCAAGTGGCATTTTTAGGACATGTCATTTCTGCTCAAGGCATTCAAGTGGATTCTCAGAAAGTGGTAGCTGTAGAGAATTGGGAGCAACCTCGAACCGTCACTGAGGTACGGAGTTTTCTTGGCCTAGCAGGCTATTATAGACGGTTCGTTAAGGATTTTTCAGTGATTGCTTTGCCATTGACGAGGTTGACTTGAAACGATGTTAAGTTTGAGTGGGATAATAAATGTGAACAAAGTTTCGAACAGTTGAAGTACTATCTCACTCATGCTCCTATTCTAGCGCTTCCAGATGATAGTGGTAATTATGAGGTTTATAGTGATGCTTCTTTGAATGGTATGGGTTGTGTATTGATGCAACATGGTAGGGTAATTACTTATGCTTCGAGACATTTGAAACCTCATGAGAAGAATTACCCTACACATGATTTGGAGTTAGCAGTTATCATCTTTGCCTTGAAGATTTGGAGACATTATCTTTATGGTGAGAAATGTAAGATCTTCACAGATCATAAGAGTCTCCAGTATATATTTACTCAGAGAGATCTTAATCTTCGACAGTAGAGGTGGATTGAGTTACTTAGTGACTATGATTGCACGATTGAGTATGATCCTGGTTGTGCAAATGTAGTGGCGGATGCACTTAGTAGGAAAACTCCAGCCAAACTTAATGCCATTTATGATTGTCATGTTCCTCTTCTAGCAGATTTGAGGTCCACTGGAGTGGAGTTAGGAGTGGAAAATTGAGAAGAAGCTTTGCTTGCTAATTTTCAAGTTAGGCCAATTTTAGTTGACTGTGTACTTGAGACTCAGATGAATGATGAAAAGACTCAAGAAATAATTCAAGCTAGCAACCAAGGCAAAAAGAAAGATTTCGGGATTTTAGAATCTGATGGCATGCTTATGCAGGAAAGCAGAATGTATGTGCCGAATAATGCAGAGTTAAAGAAGGAAATTTTGGATGAAGCACATATTT